CCAGGGCGGGACTCCCTCAGGAAAGGGGCGCTGAGGGGGGGCAAACTGTGGTCACTCGGGTCACGTAGGGGAGCAGGCACGGAGCTATGTCCCGAGGACCCCTGGAGGGTGCACAGGCTCACACTGTCCACACGGGCCCCACCCCCACCCTGTCACAGAGCGCTCCATCCCACCCAGCCACTCACACGGTCACACGCAGTGTCACGCGAAACCCCATACGCCCAGCCACAGAGATGGTGGCCGACTCTCACACATGTCACGGGCGGAGAGACGCGCTATGGTACACAACATGCGCACTTCACGTACCCTACGGAGCCCTCAGTCACACCTCGGGTCACACCGTCAGCTCTCAGCGTCACAGTGTCCCGCTGTCAGCCTCACTCACACAGACACACAACTCCATCACAGCCCCACCCTCACCGGCAAGTACAGGAGGTCATGCACATGTCACACGCCGTGACCCCCCAACTCACAGCCACGTACGGTCACATAGCCGCACACTGTGTCGCCTTGCCATCCCATGTTCTCGCTAGCCTGCAGCCTGCCGGTCAGGGTCACCACGAATCACACGCATTCTAACAGTCTCCACTTCCAGTCTTTTTGCCCTAAAAATGGGGAACACAAGGGGAAGTCTGGGTCCCCTGTTCCAGCACTCAGCCCCTCACCCCCTATAACACAAACCACCACCGAGTTGCACACCCCAATCTTCCTCTAAACACTCGTGAGCACACAGGCCCTGGGGACCCGCCAGCTCAGTGGCACAGAGGAGAAACTGAGGCCCAGAGGCCCCGGGAGGGCAGGGAGTGAGGGGTGGCATGAGGTCAAGCACTGCAGGCCTGAAGGAGGCCAGTGGGTGGGGAGGCAGGCGAGGGGGGGTGGTCCTGGCCTCTGGAGGCCTCCCTGCTCTCTGCCCCACATTCCTGGAGCCCTCTGGGCCCTGGGAACGCTGGGTTCAAGAGTGGAGAGGGAAGGGTCTGAGACCAGCACCGGCACCTCTGGGAAAGCCTGGGCGGGAGGATCACTCCACCGAGTCAGGGGGGTGGGAAGCTGGGAAGGGGGAGGGAAGAGCTGGGGGAGGGAGCAGGGGGGAGGAACTGAGGTGGTGTGACAGCGAAGACTCCAGAGTGGGAGTGAGACCAGAAAGACAGGGAGACAGACATGAGGGAGAGGGGGCCAGCCCCGGGCCTGGTGGTTGAGGCGCCTGGATCCCACATGGCTGACTACACAGTTCGAGTCCCAGACCCAACAGCTTGAGAAACAGGCTTGGTGCTGTGTGTGCCTGCCCAAAATCCCAAAAGGAGGGAGAGATGGAGGAGAGGGGATGGCGGAGTGACCACTCCACATGGTGAGGTGCGTGCGTTCTACGTTCCCCTCCTCTCACTCTCCAGCGCCGCGCGCCATCCAGTGAAATTTTAAAAAATAAAGAAGAGAAATGAGAAACCAAGGGAAAGAGAGAAACCGACCAGGAGAGACAGAGAGAAAAATAGAGCAATGCGTTGAGACAGAGAGACAGAGATTCAGGGAGAGCGGGAAGCCAAGGGAGAGAAAGAGGGAGCCAGAGAGACATACGAGACAGAAACTGACAGAGAGGCAGAGACCGAGGGACAGAGATAGACGGAGACCAAAAAGGGAATAGAGACGTGGAGAGAGACACGCAGCTGGAGCACTGACAGCTGGAGGGGCGGTGATGCAAGGGGGGCAGGGGGAGCTGGACGTGGCCCTGAGGGCAGAGGTGGCCGGTAAGGGGTCAGGGACATGGCGAGATGACTGTGGCGGCGCCCCCTCTGTGAGAGCACAGAGGGGGTGGGGCGTGTGGAAGACAAGAGGGAGAGGCAACAGTGACCCAGCGTAACACCTGATGTTCTGCGAGGTGATCCCACCGGGGAGGGCCCTGGTTCAAGCCCACAGACTTCCCTGAGTCCACCTGGCGCGAACGAGCCCACGATGGAGGAACTGAAGCTGGGTGGAGGGCCCTGTGGGAGGTGCTCTCTCTCTCACTCATGGAAGAAAGAAAGGGAGAAATTGAAAAGGAGGAGGGAGGTAAACCAGGGACCCAGACTGGCCTCTGACCCGTCCCAGCCCTTCTGGGACCTCCACAGTTTCCCAGGGAGGACCACAGAGGCCCTCCGCAGCTCCATGCTCAGGGCGGAGAAGCAGCACCAGCCCCTCCCGGCAACCACCCACAGCCCACCCCACCCCACGCCCAAACCCGAGGAGCTCCTAGCTCTTGGCCGGTCTTTCTCTCTCTCTCTCTCTCTCTCGCTTTCTCACTCTCTCTCTCTCTTTCTCTCTCTCTCTCTCTCTCGCTTTCTCACTCTCTCTCTCTCTTTCTCTCTCTCTCTCTCTCTCGCTTTCTCACTCTCTCTCTCTCTTTCTCTCTCTCTCTCTCTCTCGCTTTCTCACTCTCTCTCTCTCTTTCTCTCTCTCTCTCTCTCTCGCTTTCTCACTCTCTCTCTCTCTTTCTCTCTCTCTCTCTCTCTCGCTTTCTCACTCTCTCTCTCTCTTTCTCTCTCTCTCTCTCTCTCGCTTTCTCACTCTCTCTCTCTCTTTCTCTCTCTCTCTCTCTCTCGCTTTCTCACTCTCTCTCTCTCTTTCTCTCTCTCTCTCTCTCTCGCTTTCTCACTCTCTCTCTCTCTTTCTCTCTCTCTCTCTCTCTCGCTTTCTCACTCTCTCTCTCTCTTTCTCTCTCTCTCTCTCTCTCGCTTTCTCACTCTCTCTCTCTCTTTCTCTCTCTCTCTCTCTCTCGCTTTCTCACTCTCTCTCTCTCTTTCTCTCTCTCTCTCTCTCTCGCTTTCTCACTCTCTCTCTCTCTTTCTCTCTCTCTCTCTCTCTCGCTTTCTCACTCTCTCTCTCTCTTTCTCTCTCTCTCTCTCTCTCTCTCTCTCTTTCTCTCTTCTTTTTTCTCTTTCTTCTTTCTTTCTTTCCCTTTCCTCTTATTTTTGCAGTTTACTATAGGGTACATGTACATGCCCCAGAGAAATAGAGAAATATAGTGAGAAAGAAAGTGAGAAATCACCCCCCAGGACAGATGGCCATGCCACAGTCCCTTCTCCTCCATTCTCCTTCTGGCTTTTGGACACACATGTGCACGCACACACACCCTGTGTGATTTTCAAGCGTCCAGGTCCAGGACTCAAACTGTGGTCAGCCACGTGGGAGTCCAGAGCCTTAGTGACCATGCCACCTGCTAGCCCTAGCCCATGTCTTCTTTTTTTTTTTTTTTGAAAGGTTTTTGCTATAGGGCGCGTGCGCTCACCAGACAGACAGAGAGAGACATAGAGACAGAAAGCGAGAAATCACCCCCCAGGGAGGATGGCCACGCTGTAATCTCGGAATCTTGGGCACGCACACTCGCCCAGCGTGAGTTCTAAGCCACCGGGTCTGGGACGCAAACCGCTGTCGACTACGTGGGAATCCAGCGACATAGCCATTATGCTAACTGCTGGTTCCTGCCTAGCCCATGTCTTTCAACACTCCCTACCCCGTTCTCCATCTTCCTCCTCTGCTCTGTCTCTAACCGGAGCATCCATCTGTCTTTCTCTGCCGCTGCTCCGCGTCGGTCTGTCTTTCCCTTTCTCTCCCGTACCCTTCTTCTGCTCTGTCGCCTGTCTCTCTCCATCTTGCCTTCTCTCGCTGTCTCTGGGTTTCGTCTGTCTCGTGTGCCTGGCTGCCTCTTCTCTTTCTCCTAGTTTCCTCCTGGCTCCCGTTCATGGTTTTGGCCTCTCTTCCTCTGGGTCAGTCTCTCTTTTGCCTGCCTTCAACCCCCTCCTTTCCCTTTCTCTTTTCCTGTCCTCTCTCGGGGTGTCGGTCTATATCTGTCTCCCTCTCCCGCCATTTGCCCTCCCCTCGGGTCTCCTGGCTCCTGTCCCCACCAGCCCCCTGGGCCCAGCCATGATCAGACAGTGGTGGGGAAGCAGGAAGCAATGGCGGGAGGAAGCCGGAGGCCCATTCTCCCCGCAGGGGGCTGCCTGGCCCAGCAGGGCCTGCCGGCAGCAGGCAGGGACCTGGGGTGCTGGCAGATGGCGCGGGAGAAATGAGGCAGAGAGAGATGGGGACAAGGGGCACCCCATGGGGACTGAGGCCAGAAATGGGAGGCTGAGCCAGCCCCCTGAGAGTCAGGTCTGCAGAGATGAGGCATGATAGAGACCCACAGAACAGAAGCAGAGAGACAGAGAATGAGACGGGTGGCAGCAGA